TGAAGTGCCCGCGCGACTGGCAGGGCCCCCGAGAACCAGCAAGACGGCGGCAAGTGGCGCTCAAAAGTCGGCGGGGCGCTGGCCGAGAAGCACCTCGAGGTGGGCGGGGACACGGGCCTGGCGAACCTCGAGGCAGACGACGAGTGGAGAAGCTGAAGAGGAGGGCGACTATCGCGAAGAGCCTGCAGGGCTCGAAGGGCGGGCGCGATGCGGGCGCGGATCGCGGATCGGTTGCGGCCGGGGCTCCCGCGGCACGCCCTGACCAAGTGCGCGCGTGGGGCGCAGGACTGCAGCTTGGTCGCGAAGCGGCTGTTCTGGCTGCTGACGATGGTGCGCTCGTCTGGGAGCTCGGCGTCTCTGGAGACAGCGGGGTGGCGCCTGGCTGCGCCCCCGTTGGCGTTGGCCCACTGTGGCGGGGCCTTTTCTTCAGGTCGGAGGCGAACGAGTCCGATGCCGACCTCCTGGGAAACGATGCAATTGCGATCCGCTTCGAACGTTATACCTTCCCCGCCGAGAGCGCTGTCTGCCCGGCCGCCCTCTCGGGGCCTGGGCGGGCAGAAGCTGCAGCTGACGCTCGTGGGGGCTCAGAAGGGGGGCGGCGGCCATCCGCGGGCCAGCGGCGGGTTATCTGGGGCAGGGGGCGCTTCCACGGAGGGTTTGGCGGGAGTGGGGCGAGGCTACCCCGTTGCAGACTGCCATCATCCACGACCTGTGGGACCGGCGCGCCAAGTCGGAGTGCTGGGGGGCCGTCGACGACGGCGGCGCAGTTCTTGGCCGCCTGGGAGGCGATGGAGTCTCGAGCTATCCGAGCTCGAACACGAAGAAGGCGAAGAGGGATGCGAGAAGGGTGCCCACCCATGGGGGGCCCGTGCCCGCCGGTGGCGGAGCAGGTCTCTGCCGGCATGCGAGAAGGAGGGCCTCTCCATCGTCGGCCTGTCCAAGGTCTCCGGGGCCAACCTCGGCGACGACGGGGGCGAGATGGCCCGAGGCGCGGGCCGGGTCGACCGGGGGCGCTGCGATGGCACCAGGAGCAACGCGGACCCAGTGTGGAGGCGACTGGAGAACAGGCGGAGCTCAGTCGGGAACGGTGGGCTATGTCAAGACGGTCAGGGATCGCGCGGGGGTGTTTGCGGTGGCGAAGAGCCTCGGCGTGACTTGCCAGAGTGGGATTGGGATCGCAAAAGGGTGGGCCTCTTGTTCAAGGGCCCGCCCTGGGTGCCTCCGGGCAATCCCGCGTCCCTGGCCCTTTTGGAGCTGGGCGAGTCAGTCCTGGATGGGCGACGGCTCCTCTGGTTTCAAGGCGACATTCCTGGTTGGTTTTGCCGTTTATTGTGGCCTCGCTCATTGGCGGAGTACTCTGCGCTTTCCGAAGTGACCCCGCGCCAGATCTACGACTGCGCACCGGAGAAGGCAGTCTCTATGCCGAGGCCGTGCGAGGGCGATATTGGGATTGGTGCGACGTCTCCTGCGATGGGCTCGAGCTGGGCGGTCTGCCTGGCGCGCGGTTGCTTGGTCGACGCGCTGGGGGAGATGAAGGAGATGGGCCTTGCCCAGATCGCCTGCGGCCAGCCTGCGCCGTCGTTTGAGGCGGTGCAGCTGATGCTCATTCTGTTCATCGACGACTGCGTCGGGCTGAAGCTGCGCGGAGGCGACGGCGAGGAGCTCAGGGTCGAGGGGGACAGGGTCGCGGCGCGCCTGGATTCTCAGGGGCCGCCCGTGCACGGGGAGGATTTTTTTGGGGGTCTGGCGCGAGGCACGGGGCTGTGCATCGGAACCGGACCCTGCCGCCGGTGGGTCGTCCAAGACAAGATGCGAGACCTGGCGCCGGTTGCCGAGACGGTGGTGGCGCTGGGCAGGGTGGCCCCGGGCACTCTCAACAGCTTGCTGGGGGGGTGGGCCTGGGCAATCATGGCCAACCGAGTTGCGCTCGCCAGGCTCTTCCATGTGGCAGCGTGCAGGTTATCGCGTTGCAGATTCTGTCGAGAGGGGCCCCTTGGCGCTGGCCTCGTTGCGCGCGCGACACCGGTTGCGTGTGTAACTCCTCTCGTGCTCGCGGGCGTGGGCGTGCATTGAAAAGACTGCGGGCTCGATCGCCCCCTTTGTGCCGCAAGTTGGTCGACTGGTTTTATATGTTGCCCCTGTCTGGGTGATCCTCCTGACCCCGCTTGTGGCTGGCCCCTCCCCTTAGCGGCATAGCACGAGTATATGTTGCCAAACGAGCTTTTGCGTGTGCATTGCCGTGGGTCAGGGCCGTGCATGTTGCATCCTACTTTTCATGCTTGCATTCTTTGGGGCTCGCAGTTTTTTCGGCTCCCGACCCCCCGACCCTTGTGGGTTATCGCGTTTCAGATTCTGTAGAGAGGAACCCCCTGGCGCCAGCCTCGCGGCGCACGGGACACCGGTTGCGTGTGTCGCTCCTCTCGTGCTCGCGTGGTGTGGGCGTGAATTCAAACGACTGCGGGCTCGATTGCCCCCCATGTGTCACAAGTTGGCCGGGTGGCTTAATCTGTTATCTCTGTCTGCGTGATCCGCCCGACCCCGCTCGTGGCTGGCCCTTCCCTTTAGCAACATCACATAAACGCATGCTTTTGCGTCGCAGCGCGGAAGAGGCAGTCCGAGCGCGCGCCCAGGTAACCTGGGCTACGGTGAAACGAATTGGCCCGCATGCAAAAGGAGGGGAAAAGCCGAGGGTCGGCCGCAAAAGTAGGAGGCGGGAAAGGAGGGCGCACTCACGCGGCCAGGCCGCGGGTGGGCGCGCGGGGCGGCCAAACCACAAGGCATCCCCTGGCAGCGAGCGCGGGGCGGCATCGCGGGCGCACCCAGGGGAGGAAACGGCGGCTGCAGTGCAAGGCGGCTCCCAACAAATGGGGACTGCGGGGGCGACGGGCCGCCAGGATGGCGGGCCGGGGGGCGCCGGGGGGGGGGCAGTAGGCGGCGGCGCGTGAAAGTTGCGGCGGGCTGGGCGCGTAGCCCTTCGCCGGTGCGGCGCGGCAGAGGCGATGTGCAAACGGGCTTGGGCCAGCGTGGCCCGAGGCGGAGCTCGCGTTGCGCGCCCCAGCGCCAGGCGGCGGGAGGGCGGTCTGCACACCGCGCCCGCCCTCGCCCCGCCCCGCCGCCGCCCCCTCCCCGCCCTGCTGCCGCCGCCTTCGCTGCGCGCCTCGCCCCGCCCCGCCCTCGCGAGCTCGGCGGCGGCGCCGCCGCGGCGCGGCGCGGCGCGGGGCGCGGGGGTTCGGCGGCGCGCCGCGGGGTCGACGGGCGCGGAGCCGGCGGCGAGCGTCCCCGTGGTCCTGCTCAGCGGCTTCTTAGGCGCCCCGGAGGGCCTCCGCCCGTCGCGACGACGGCGACGACGACGCCGACGACGACGACGACGACGGCGGCGGCGGCGGCGACGACAACGAGGGCCGCCGATGGCCGTCGACGACTAGCGGCGGCTGCGGCGGCGGCGCGCCGCGTCTTCGGGCTCCTCGCCTTGCTCTTCGCTCGCCCTCCTCGCCGGCCTCCGACTCCTCGCCCCGCCCTCGCCTCCTCGCTTTCCTCGCTCTCCTCGCCCTTGCCTTCCTCGCCCTGCTATTTTCGGTTGCCCTCCTCGCCGTGCTTGTCCCCGTCGGTGGCTACTTGGGCCCAGGGCCGCCCCCGGCGGGGCGGGTTCGAGGCGCCTCTTCCCCGAAGCGGCCCCGAGCGTGCCCCCGGAGACCTTTGGGCGGCCCCAAACCACTCCCCAAAATCGTGGCTTGGCATCGCTCGGACGTGTGTATTTTTTCGGTGAAGACCATCGAACAAATACACGCACAACGCCGAGCAGTGCACGGGGAATGGACGTCCGATCGGTGGCAAGGGGGAACCCCCCCAAGTGGCCCCCAAGGCGTGGCCCGCGGCGCGCAGCGGCGCAGCGCCTCCGGGAGTTTCTCGGGGTGGCTTCGGGCGCCCGCGGGCCCCGAGCGGGGCGTCCCCGCGGCGCGCGGGCTCTGGGGCCGTGTGCGGTTGACTAGACGTGGCACCCCCGTTACCAGCCCCGACCCTAGCCTATCCTTAAGACTGGCACTCCGAACGACGGTGACAATCTCAGGGATGTGCCTGCAGAAGCTGCGGGGATCCTTCAGATCGGCGCCGAGGTAAAGTGATGCCAAACTTGGGGGTAGGGATATGTTCCAGGCCCGTAAACCTCCTCGCGACGCAGAACACCAGGACGGACGCATGTTGGGGCAGCTCTCGACCTCCAGAAGGGGGTCTTCGCCGCGCCCTGGGACCGCCAAAAGGCCTTCGTCGGGGCACGGGGAGCAGCCCCGTGCTTACTGCTGCTGTTGCTGCTGTTGCTGCTGTTGCCAGTCCAGGAGTTTCGGTGGCGTGAGAGCCCGATGTAACGGCTTCGTGTGCGACATAACCAGGATCGGTCCTCATCTGGCGTTTGCATCCTGGACGGATTCCTCTATCGCGCACAGGAGTGCAATTCAGCGTTGCTCGCGTTAGCGCGCGAGTGGCATCGGCCGCACGGGGTGGAGACATCGCGCGCGACAAGAGCACGCCCTCTGTGGTCAGCGGCCCCCAAGGCCCAACCAACGTTGGGATATGTAGGGATATGTTTGACGCTGGTGACATCAGTAGTGCGCTGCGTTCGGAAATTTGTCTTCGCGCCAAGAACATGTCCTTGGCGCCCGCGCCTGTTTTTCTGTTCGTCGTCCGAATCATCCTGCAACGCCAGCCAGTTGCGTGCCGTCCGCCCCTGATCAGTCAGTTGTTGAACTAGGCGATTCGCAACCTAAAATACCCGGCGTATCCTTTTTCCATCATCCTTTCTCTCCTCCTTCCTTCCGTCCTTCCTCGTTCCCCACTGGCAGGGCGACACCGTAACATAATAAAGCGAAGGAGGGAGCTTATGGAAAGACAGGCCGACTATAGGCGAGGCACATCAAAACACATGTAAAACAACAGGGACTATGTAATGGAAGGAAGAAACAACGCGATGGAAGGACGGCAGGCTGGCGAGACGAAGGAGGCACGGAATGATCCATCGGAGAATTCGGAAGACATTTTCCGCAAGACCAGGCACGGGCAAGACCACACTACTGAAGCACTGGCTGGAGAAGGCCGAAGGAAGGATCGGCGTGATCGTCAATGACGTCGCCGCCGTAAACATCGACTCAAAGCTCGTGAAGGAGCAGAAAACCAGCGCTGCTGGCAAGGCGCGGTGCATCGCTGCATCGCCCTCCTGCCCTCCCGTTCTCGCCTGTATCTTGAGGAGGACTTGTCGGGTGGGACAGGAGAAGGGCGGAGGCGGATGGTGAGAGAAGGGTGAGAAAGAATGATAGAGGAGGTATGGACGATCACGAGAGAGAGACGGAGGGAAGGAGGACGGATGCGGATGGAGATGGCAATGGTGAGACTAAGGAGGGTACGGAGGGTGTGGAGAACGGATAACTGGATGACGATGATTGCGATTCCTGGCTTCCTGTCAGGATTTGTGGATTCGAGTCTCTGCAACCTTGGTGCCCAGGGGTCGGGGCAATGGATGCCCTCGCTGTCGTTTTCAGGTATGCGTCTGGGGGTCTGATTCCAAGATCCTGCAATTTCGACTCGCTGTTGTTGCTGTTGTGACCATGTCGTAATATCAACCTTTTCACTGTTGGGCGCAGTATTGTTGGGCCTTCTGTCGGGCCTCGTCAATCGGTTTCGACGGGGGGGCCTTTCGGTTTGGAAGATGCCGTCAGATATATTTTGGGACTTGTTACCTATGTTTCGGATAACGAGTCCGCGGTGGATAGGTGGTGGTCCAAGAGATATCTAAAGCCCTCTGGAGAGCTCGCAGCAGGATGGAGAAGCATAGGTACGTTGCTTCGGGAACACGAGTGGCCAGCTCGCGAGATTGTCGTGCTCTGCGTATCCTCTCACCTCACTCCTGACAAGTATCTCTCTCGTTCTGTTCCTCCCGAGCTAGTTTTTGGCAGCGCTGTCGCTGGTGAATTCGCCGGTCTCTGCGCCAACCGCATTCGCTCGCCGCGGGACCGGAGGCCTAAAGTCATGGAGATCGAAGGAAGGGCCAGCCTTTTTCGCAACAGATTAATGAGGGCGAGTTTGGACGCGATGAGTACTGCGTCCAGACAGTCCAAAATAAGTTCTGGAATACATGGTCGTGGTCGTCCTCGTGGCCCCCCTGCTCCCCCTCCCGTCCCCTCTCCCTGCACCATGGGTTGTTGCTGTGTTTGCTTCGGGGCACACCTTGGAGGTCGAGGGTAGGAGGTGTTCTCGATGCAAAGCATCGGCAAGTGCTGCAGCTAGGACCAACTGATCGTAGTGCGCCCCTCTTGTTGCTTCTGCCGTGCCCACGAGGAGGAATGCATCTGAGAGGAGGGTGGATTCACGTTAGTCATCAGATGGAGTCTCATTCAGGTGCGTCTGTCTGGCTTTGTCCAGCCCGCGGGCGCTACGGGTCCGAGCAGCTCCGTGACTTGTCCAAGGTTTGTGATCCAGCGAGTTTGACCCGTAAGACGCGGGGTTGTCCAGGGTCCTGAAGCCTTTACTAAGGTTTAGTATGGTTTTCAACGCTTCGCGTTTGATCTGGTTCCGATCCCGATTCCGATTCCGAATCCTCCTCCCCTTCCTGTCGTTTCTTCGTCTTTTCATTTTTGTTTTCCCCCTCCCCCTCTCCCTCCCGCCCCACTCCCTTCGCCCCTCTTCCGCCGATCTTCGTGTCATTTTCGTCGTCGCCGTCGTCGTCTTCGTCGTCCTCCTCCTCCTCCTCCCACTTCTCCTCTCCCTCCCTCCCTCCCTCCGCCTCCCCTCCCGTCCCCTCCCCCTCCCCTTCCCGCCCAGGTCGAGACCGTCGAGCTGCAGAACGGCTGCGCCTGCTGCTCCCTCGGCGACGAGCTCGTCCTTGCGGTGTCCCGCATGATGCGGCTGGCCGATGCAG